TTAAGGAGGTTTTATTTTGCTTGTGAGACAATGTGTGTGTATATATATATAATATAATATAAATATATAGAGCTCTGTTTCCAGCCTGAGTCGATTTAATTTATTGTTTTGGTTGTGTGTGATTTAATTAATTTAATTAATTTGTTTTATTTATTATATATCATTTATATATTTTAATATTATTTCACATTTCATTTGCAATGTTGAATGTTCAATAAAAAGTTCTGTTTGAAAGGATGTACTAGAATTATTATGATATATTATCAGTATGTCAGTGGTCTAAAATGGTCTTACAATGGTGCCGACAATATTATCGTTTATCGCAATAATTTCCACGAACATTTATCGTCCAACAAAATTATTTATCGTGACAGGCCTAACAACACGTCTGTCTCAGTGGAAAACAAAAAGACAATCAAATATAATTCCATAACATTTGTTGCTGTTCTTTCAGATCTGGGTGATGGCTTTGTCCGTGTGCTTCATCTTCACCGTCACCATTGGAACATTCCCGGCTGTCACAGTGGAGGTCAAGACGACGGTGGCAAATGGAGGAGTCTGGGGTGAGTCTCCATCTCTGACATCTGTACAAAGCTGCAGGAGCTACTGAGCCACTCACGCTGATAATCTGACATTTGAGAGGGATGGCATTTATCTGAGTACGTTATCAGCCAACATTTCCTTACAAGAAAATCTGAAGATATGTAACTCCTCACCTCAGACAGTAAGCGTGTGTTTATGGGGCAATAATGTCTTATCTTTTCTGAGGATATTGTGAGAAAATTGGAGGTAACTCTAAATTAGTATGGACTGACCTGGATCTTTTTCTGCTCATTTGTCTCCCCTAAATTAGACTTTTACTGTCATTGCAGATCCATGTAGTTTAAATTGTAATTGTAGTAGACAGGACAAAGAGTTCATTAATATGAGAGCAGCCTTTAGGAACTCTGGAATCACTTTAGTATATTCTTTAGTTAGCAATGTAGCCCTCAAACAGTTTCAGCTTTGAGCACAGTAAGCGTTTGTCTGCTTGGATTCACACGCCCCGGAGTCGAAGCAGAACAAAGTTTAAAAGTATTTTGAGATGTTTCTACGGCTGCTTTCTGTTCTGTGACTTCTGGGAAGCAATGCTGACTGACCCCATTAGGTTTTTTAACTCCAGCTTTTAATCCCACTGAGGTTTTTGTCTCAAGCAAATACATCTGCAGGATTGTTGTTGACAACAGCTGGTTTGTTTTTGTCCCTTTTCAGAAACTTACTTCATCCCCGTGTCGTGTTTCCTCCTTTTCAACCTGATGGACTGGGCCGGCAGGAGTCTGACGGCCGTCTGTATGTGGGTCAGTAACAACTCCACAATCACTGACTGAAACCCTCTTTGGAGCTTTGGACTCCCTCCTTGGAATCTATCAGTTCTCAAGCTCGGACGTAACTAATTTGTGCAAGTTTAGGGGATATATTCAGGCAGAACATTGATATAGAAACTTGTCCCAAATTAGCTTAGTCTCAGTCTCACAAGGTCTTAAAGTTACCTTATCTATGCTGCTACTTACAACTGTAAAAATACCACCAGAACACTACCCATTTGTAGATATACAGGTAGTAAGCATAGACTCTGCCTCCTCACCAAGTCCGGCCAACAAATCCATTGATATACAGCACTCACACACATTTGCTTTAGAGTCCTTTTTGAATGACCATATCAAAATATTTAGTGTGATGTGCTGATGTCTAGCGGGAGAGTGGTGCTCTGGACAACAGACACTTTAGTAGAAGCCTTTGGCTGCATTTAATGTTTACTCACAAATAAATCACTGAGTTCGAGACTGTAAAAACATCAGTCACTAGGAAATGAAGGAGAATAGTTTTGTTGTGCTGAGATCAGAGGTTTATTTTGGGGAAAAGTGCTTAAAAGGAAGTGGTTTTAGGATCTGAGTAGAGAGACTGGTCTTTTTGAAGGTTTTCCCCCTGTTACCTGAACAGCTGAATGAACGCTGGCAGCTTTAGATAAGAAGCCTGACACACTGGGCATTGTTTCTGTTATCATACATTTGTATTTTGATGCTGCCTTTTATAAATGATTATAGGTTTTTACCACAGCTCTCTCCATCACTACTTGGTAACCAATGTCTTGTTTGGCCTCAATTTAAATGTGTTGTCTAAACATTCAATTCTAAATTGACAAGTCAAATTTCCTGCGCTCCTGAGGGAGTAACCAGAATTGAATAAACAAATTCTGTACAGTGAGTTACTCCATCTGACCTGCACAGGAATGCAGCTTGTCATGAGTGCAGTCAGATAGCTGCAGTCAGCTGCTCCGAGACCATGTGAGTGCATTTACTATCATTACACTGACCAGGATCCCGTTGGTGCTTAGTGGCTCCAAGGCTGCAGTGGAAAAGCGAAGACAGCTTCTTCATGTGTTGTTTTCTAACCATATTTCCTTGACCTCAAAGGAAAAGGTCACAAGGACAATTTATAAGGACTTGGGGAAAGACACCCACAGTGGGGTCTTGGGAGCACACCTGGTAGAGTGGGCGCTTCATGTATGGCTGGGAATAAATTCAGCCGTGACCCTGTGCTGCATCATGCATCTCTTCCCCTCTCTCCTTCCAGTGTTACTGACTATCCTCAGCTGTCCTATCACATAGAGGCAAAAGCAAAACGCCCCGAAAATGATCTTAACTACTTCATACCTTTTCTGTCCTTAAAGCACCCTGAGTAATCTGTTTGTGCAGACATTAGGATTGGGCGATAAGTACAATCTTTGTTCCTTTTGCTCTAACTCTCAATTACTCTTAAAGGGATGACAATTTAGTACTGTTGGTAAAATACAATTCTGAAAAAATGTCCAAAAACAAACTGCAATTTGAGCCCGTTTTTGCTTTTCGAATCACCCTACACCAGTGTTTCTCAAACTTTGTCATACCAAGGACCACTTAACCAATAAAAAAACACTCGCGGACCACCTAACTCAACAAATGGCCTGCTTACCACTCCAACAGTTTATAACAAATTACAGGCTAATAAAGACAGCTTAACCTTCTCTATATCGCCTCGTTCACACATTAAATCAACAATACAAATACAACTACAGATTATATAAGCATTTAGTTCAAATGCGATTTAAAAATGCTCTCAGGTTTTACACCTCTTATGAAATGTAGACTACATTTATTACGGAATTTATGTCCGAGCCAACAGACTTCTCAGATCGTGGTTGGCACGCCTACTGAGAGAAATGCAAAATACACCGCGTGTAGTACGACACAAACCTCCGCTGTGGATTTTCAAAACAAAATACAGTAAAACTATGGTCGCATACCCAAGTTTAACTCTGAGGTCTAAGCCATTTTTTCACTTGTTAGGCTCGCATGGGCTTTTTGTTGTTGTAAAAATGCTATTAAAACATGAACCTTGGTGACCATCGACCTGGCCTGCATGGTCTGCCTACAAAACAAAAATAAAAAAACGTTTTGCAGCCCCAACAACAGCCTCTTCATGTAATGCTTCATTGGATGCACATATTAGATAAGAATCTCTATCTAACTCCTAACACATCTAAATCTACTTCCAGCATGGATAAATGTTCATAAAAGATATCCATTGTTTGTTTTATACGCTTCTTGAAATCTAAAAAAAAACACATCGTTTTTCTAGAACAGATTACAAATGGCCTGAAAATGGTACAAACAAGCGGCAACATGTGTGGCGAAGGTGTTGCGCTGGGCTATATCATGCAATCAAAAGTGAAACTTAAGCTTGCCCCATTGCGGAGATATTCCCGCGAGAGTGCGGAAGACTTAAATAAATACAATTATATGTGACATTTTACTAATATACTCACGGACCACTAGGGGGTGCTCGCGGAACACACTTTGAGAAACACTGCCCTACACTAACACATATACTCTACATCAGTGTCTGCAGGACATAGAAACACCCTAAATGATGTCTCAGTCGTCTGTCCCTGTGGCTGATGTTAGTGTTTCTCTCTCTGCAGCCGGGGAAAGACAGCAGGTGGCTCCCCGTCCTGGTGGGTCTGAGGATCGTCTTCATCCCTCTCTTCATGCTGTGTAACGTCCAGCCTCGTAACTTCCTCCCCGTGCTGTTCGCCCACGACGCCTGGTACATCTTCTTCATGATCTTCTTCGCCTTCTCCAACGGATACCTGGCCAGCCTCTGCATGTGCTTCGGACCCAAGTAAGAACTACTCTGTGTCAAAACTCCTACATTGAGACGGGATTATATTAGTCCTGGCAGATTCTTTCTTCTGATTGGACGATAAGATTGCGTCCAGTAAATCAGTGAAAGTCTTCTAACTCCTTATATATTTATATTTCCCATGATGTTGAACGATCCCTTGTCTCTAACGGTGAACCTCTCCTCCCTAATGGATCTGTCCCCCCTTTGTCTCCGTGCAGGAAGGTCCCACAGCATGAGGCGGAGACGGCGGGGGCCATCATGGCCTTCTTCCTGTCCCTGGGCTTGGCGCTGGGCGCTGGTGTCTCCTTTGCTTTCAGGGCCTTGGTCTAAGAGCTCCAGAAGACCCCTCATTAGACATAGATTAGACGACCCCCCCCCCTCAAACACTGCCTGTCTTCACCCGCCAACAGCCTCTGACTGAGAGGAGATGGCAGACGTGAAGACTAGAGGCCCTCGGTCTTCTCCGATGTACAGTAGAGACTCATCCAATATAAGCTGAACATGTCACTGAATATACGTCTTCCAACTCAGCAGCACAGCGTGAAAACTCTATGCCATTTATCAAACAGGTTGTTCCTCTGAGATGAATTGAAGTTCAGAGGGCAACTTGACAAAAACCAAAAGTGTAGTAGATCAGTTGTAGCGGACTCGTCATGTAGATGTTTTTTAGTTTTCCAAGATAAGACAAATCCCAGGCAGGTGATGAAGACTGTACATGAAGCGCCTAGAGCCTGATTCATAAAAATGTGTTATGGTCAGTCACGTACTTTAGAAATCACATGAACTTATGATGTTGTGCAAAAAAAGTCCCAACATTTTTATAAATGAGGCTCTTAGATTCTGGTGTTCGGATAGTCTGCTTAAACCAGTACATTTTACCCTAAGTTTGTAAACTGTGATCCTTAACGCTAATTTTTTTTAAATGACTTCACTCTGTACTGTTGCAGCTTTTTAACTTTGATCAAACCAAATACATGAAGACACGGGGAAATTATGAACTTTGAAGGGAGGTTAGACCCATCAAACGGCTCATTAACGTGCCGTGTGCAAACCGCTGCTTTCAGTGTCACCTTAGTCCGTAAACTTCCTATTTAAGAATAAGCACATTCTCGATGAATGTAATCACAGAATAAATCCTGAAGACGAGGTTTTAATCCACAATCTGAGCCACTAACTGCTGAGTACTCATTGTCTTAGAGAGTGCTGACTGTCTGTTTGTAGATTTAGATGAAGACGCACCAGCGTGGGTCAATTTGGTTTATCTCAAAACACATGTTTCAGCCCACAGGATGACATTCATACTGCTACTGTGTCTTCCTGTTAAACGACATTTGCCACAATGTATTTTAGAATGGAGCAAAAAGAGAAATATGCAGCCGTCAAAGATGTGAAATGTGCCATTTGTGAGTGAGATAAGGAGGATTTTTTTTTATGTCATTAGTTGGCTTTCTTTCCATGTAAGATACGTTTTGTATCAGTAGTAGTTTTTAGTATTCTGTTCAAACTTTACCACTCGGCTCTTTGAGTGAGTTTTGTTCTCATGAATTGGGAGGTGCCTATCAGTGTTATATATTTGTGGCCTTTTTGATGCTTTTCTTTCTTTTTTTAAGTCTGCTTTAGTTGTACACGATATTATTCATGCAGTAATACCAGCTGTATACATGCTAACTGCCTGTTTGTTTAAAAGCACAACGTTGGTCTGTTCTTCCGTACTGTGTGTTGTAGTTTGTATGGGAGTCATGGATCAGAAAATGTTGATCATATTTGCAGCTTAAAAAAGTTCTGTGATAAAATAAAATTGTATTTTTAAGAATCTGGCTCCTCCTGTTGGTCATTTACGGAAATGCACTGCTCAACATTCAGCCGATCATTAGATTAAAGGTGATCTGGTTGTTGCCAATATTCATGAAACAACTGGACTCAAACGTATCTAGACTTAATTGACTTGAATCTGCAGTGTACATTTACGGCGCTCCTCTGCATGTGACTGAGTAATGAAGTTAACTTTCCAGAGAGACGTCTTGGTGTTAGTCACCGAAAGATTTAAAATCTCAGTGACTTTTGGCACAACGGCACTGATAAAGGAACTCTTGACCCTGTTCAGATATAACTGCTCTAAAATGTAAGAATTTTACATTTTGAAATGGATACATAAGAAGTGGCAAACTTTAAGATGTTAGTTTTTCTTAATTGCTTAAACATTTGAAATTAAGTTAAGTTTCCACTTGCATTAAGACTGGCCGTTTCTCCATCTCGAGGAAACTGGCTTCCTAGCCAATATTTCAAGGATGCTACGTCATCGAGTGCCGCCGAAGGACTGTTCCAATCTCCAGCATACTTGGAATTCCACCGAGGCCGCGTCCTTGGTTTGGGGGTAATTTCGAGGCTGCACATGGGTAGACTTCGCGTCCTTCAAATCCCCACAATGCTTTGCGCACGGACCAATTTCCCCAAATTTGTGGCGGAAAATGTAAGGCGGGGCCTCTCATATGACGCACACCTGAACACTTTTTAGCCTGTTCCACTGTTCGTTTTCCGAATGCTAGGAAGGATTCTTGCCTAGCTTCTGAAGCAAGTGACTCGGAACAGTCGACAAAGCATCCTCGCGATTGAGAAACGGCCACTTTCTTCCTAATTATACCCTATAAACACCAGAAATGAAGTATGTTGCTGGTATCAAGAGTAAAAACATCTTAATTACCCAAGGACTATGTATATACCTTCAACCCCTTACAGACACAGAGGATGCTTAGTGTTCAGATGACATGTGTTTAGAACTTGATATAAAACAAAAGTCTTTAAACTTGTGTTCCTGAGTGACGTTGAAGAAAAAAATATGTTCTGTCATTTTGTTCACATGTAATCATTTCCTAAAAAGAAAAGACGCAAAGGACCCAATTGATGATTTATTCTTAAGGTAAACATTTTATTCAAAAATAAATTACCGGAGACATCTTTAAAAGGCAGACAGACATTGTCTCCGAGCCACTCGCCACAATCAAAACATTTTCCTATCAGAATCCAAATATTCACACCGCCCTCACGAAAAGGAGATAAACTATGTAAACCCGACTACAGCAGCAACTTATCCATCTTAAACCACAGACTGGTGTTAGGTTGATCAAGGAAAAAACAGCCATTCTGATTCAACTGATTTAACTATAAAATGTATACAAAGTTTATTTAAATATTTAATCCAACATATACATGCCCGATTTGTACTATGTGATCACAGAAAGAGAGAGACTGTACAGAAATGTGGATGGAATCAACGAAAAGCGCTGAGAAAGAAGTCAGAAATAAAGATGGGTCCAGGTCTATTTTTATCAGTATTGTTGAAGTCGAAATATTCATCCGACTCCAGAAGGCGAGACAAAGGCAGTGGATACAATCTTAACTCGTCGGTTACAGGAATAGTTCACAATGTTTGCAGTATAAACTCATCACTTTGTTCCTGAGTAACATGAGAAGATTGATACTAGTCTTGTGTCTGTCAGGTAAATGTGAAACTGCAGCTAGTTAGCTTAGCATTAAGGTGAAACGGCTAGCATGCTCAAAAGAAAGAAGTAAAACATGGTCAACCAACACATCTAAAAGCTTACTTAACACATTTAAAATGGTAAATTCAACTGACAGGACATATATTGTGGATTGTCGAGCTTTGGATGTGCTGGTACAGGCCAATTTATTTAATTTCGAAAGTTTCACCCTGTTAAGCTAACAGCATTAGCTTTTGGCTGCAGTTTTATTTTCAATCCAACATATAAGCAGCTTCAATAATCACACCTAACTGTGACAGGGAAGCAAATAAGCATATTATCCAAAATATATTTATTTAACTCCCTGGAAGTAAAAGAAAGGCTTCAAAGTCCTTAAAATGCAACGAGAAACATTTAGAGCTAGTGCAGCTTTCATGAAATGGTTCAACATGTCGGTACTCCCTGGCAGCCTAAAAGCTCTTAGCTAGTTTAGCGCTACGACAGAGTAGCTCCTAACACCATGCAGAGTCAAACACTGGCGGTCCGCTGCGGGACACTAAAGGCCAGATAAAACACGTCAGTCCTACAATTAAAAACACGTCAAAATCAGCTGAGCGGCTCGCAGCTTCCTACAGTTCTCTTCAGGATTACAATCAGAAAATAGAGAAAGAGAGACAGAAGCAACCGGAAGTACTTATAAGTCAAATTAAGTAATAAAGAGCTTTGTTTCATTTGTGCACTCTTCTGAGGACAGACATGACTGTTCATGCCTCTCTAGATTGTACATAACATGACTTTACATTTACTTCCACTTATGCAGAATCAATAAAATCTGTTTCCTGATTTTACTGAATCAAATAATAAAATGCACACGTCAGTCAGCTCATTATTAGTCGCTAAGTTACTTGTGCTTGTAGGATGCGTTAATAAACAGAATGGAGTAAATCGAGCTCTCGCCTGTAAGACAACAAAAATGATTAAATGCACAAAAACGTTTCATTTTGCATCCGTTTGTTGATTACAGCTGCCCACGGCGTTGTCAGTTTTCCCTGAATTACAGCTCAATTCTGAATACAGCATGGCACACCGGAGGAGATGCCTTCAGGTCCTGATTTGGCGAGAGGATTCTCTGCTCGGTCCTCTTAATATTAAAGGTGCAGCGTCTGCTCTGAGGCACTGGGGGGCGATGTAGAGCAGACAGAGAGCATCAGGTCCAGCAAATAGAGACGGTGGCAGCGATGAGATGATGGAGGACTTTTTGGGGAAGGGGCTAAAAGAGAGTCAGCTTTGGTGTTGAACTAGTTCCACAGTTCTAGGTTTGATCACATTGAGCGAGTGGGTTGTGCACATGGCGGGGGAGATGAGGAGGAGGAGGAGGAAGAGCGTCAGTGAGTCTTTAACTTTGTGTGCTGCGAGCCCGATTCTGTGAAACTGGCTTTGATAGAGTTAACCACCGTCTGTCTGACGGTGTCTTCCATATAATGTTCACTGAGCGGCTTCAAAACCTGCAGGAGAGGAGGAGAGAGAGGGAGGGAGTTTGTGTGAGAATACATCATTAAAAGTGTCCAGAAAACAGTCTTAAAAAGGGGACAAAGAAAGTGAAATTAAAGATTTGGGAAGAAAAAAAGATGAAAGTGAAATAAATGAAGGGAAACAAGGTGTAGCGTCCAACTTGGAGACCACAGAAAACAAAAAAACAACAACCCAGGACTCACAACGTAACTGAAGAAAATCTCAACGGAAAATAACAGTAAAGATTATTAAAAACCGTTTTGGCAGGCTTCCTTTCTTTGAGATGGGCTTTGCCTGTCGCAGTTACATTCAGTGAAGCTCAGAGGACGTCCAGGGGTTAAAGCTTAAGAGTCCAGCACCATTTGACTGAATAATATGCAAAAAGACGCCAGCAAACTGCAGGAGTTTCCATAAGAAGTTTAACAGAGTGTAAATGTGTCCGGCAGCTAGATCCTCTTCTTGTAGTTGTTGTTGTTGAGAGGAGACAGAGCTCTGAGTCCTAGCGAGGCTCCTGATGGGAGGGAAGAGAGGAGAGAGACGGGCCACGCCAGGCGGCTCTTTACGGGCTCCAAGAGTTTGGAAAACACCTGAGAGAGAGCAGGGAGGAGCGGGGGGGGGGGTTACAACGAGGAACAAGAGAGACGGGAGGAAACACACTGGAGCAGCAGGAGGAGGAAGATACGGGAGCAGAATGGGGAGAGTCTAATAAGGACTGCAGAAACAAATTCTAAAAAGTTAATAGTAGAAATAATATTCAGTAATATAATAATATTTCTAAAAATGTTTTAGAATAGTAAGTCATAAAACATTTTAATAATTATCTTACTACAGAATCTTATAAATAAAAACATATAGTATAGTATGTGATAAAAATCATTTTAAAAAAAGTCAGAATATTGCATGCAGTAAAAAAGTCAATTTAAAAAAAGAAAAAAAGTTCAATAAAAATGAGTAAAATATGTGAAGATGTGAATATTAAAAGGGGAAAAGAAGAAAGACTTGAGAACACTTGGGAGATGTTGAACCAAACAAGTGAAAAGAACAGAGGGAGAAGGAGGGGGAGAAAGGAAAGGAGGCAGGATGTTTGGAACGACGGGCAGAGGATCAGAGAAACAGGAAGTGACACCTCTCACCTTTCTGAGGGTCTTCTGTAAACAAGGGAGGGAGGAAGAGACACAAAGCAGAGGAAGGGGGGAGAGTCAGAGGAAACGAGAGGGAGGGGTTTGTTGTGAACCTCAAAACATTCATGAAACACAAAACAGAAGACAAACACACTTCATATCCTCCTGAGTGAAGTCTGAGGGTAAAAACTGAAAAATAAAAGTAGGGAATGACAGAGTGTAAATGAGGAGGGACCGCTGGAAGGTGTTTTCAAGTTTGTGAGATGGATGTTAAGACGATCGTAAACATGGAGTGGAAAAAAGACAATTAAACGTGAGAGGATTCTTGTTTCTAAGTCTAGAAACCTAGCAATAAAAAGGTCAACCAGGGACAATTCAGGGAAAATCTAACCAAGAACAAAAGCAAATAAAACACATTTTAAATATATTAAATTTCACCCGCTTTAAAAAAAGGCTTATATTTGATACATTCTTATAGTAATACAAATCTAATATTTGTATTTGAACTCAAACAAACCTTTCTGATAGGGATTACTTCAACTGGAATATATATCTATATGTATCAAGTGTCACATGTACAGTTGAAAAATAAACCACTGCTCTCTGGTAGACTAACAAAATGAATAAAAAAAACCTTTTCAAAACCATTTTTTTTATAACTGGTTGATAATTGTATCTGTTTTACCAAGCTAACATGCCCAACATGTTACAGCTTCCCTTTAGTCAGTTACCTAGTTCAAGCTTAAAGTTAAAGCAACTATTACAAAAAACGCCATCAAATTGTTCATTAGAAATAACATTATTTCCCGCAACAGATTATCCTTACCACACACACACACACACACACACACACACACACACACACACACACACACACACACACACACACACACACACACACACACACAGAGAGAGATGACCCACCTGTTCCCAGAGGGTCTCTGCCACCAGGTCTATCAGCGTCCCCACCTCCCTGAACTCTCCGCTGTACTTCACGTACGCCCAGGCGCACAGCGACAGCAGCGCCACGCCCATCGCCAGGTTAGCCAGCGCCGCCAAGGTGCTGAGGCCGATGAAGCCCGTCACCCCGGAGACCAGGTAGGTGACAAACATGACGGCGAAGAGCGTGGCGGGCGTGCGTGCCGTGTAGAAGATGTTCTTGCCGTCGTTGTGCTTGGTGAAGTTGGAGAAGGTCTGGTCCAGCTCGCCCTCCAGCTGGTTCTGGTAGCGCTGGCAGAACTCCTCGCCGCCCATTTTCTTCACGGAGCGGAAGTGACGCACCGAGTGCTCGCGAAAGTCCACGTGGAAACGCTCCAGGTCTGTTGGGGCGAGGTACGGCTTGTCCCCACCGCAGACCTGACGGGACAGAGGAGTAAAGTGTGACCAACATGAGAGGAAGAGAATCCATTTTTATTAGACATTATATTATAATAATAATAATAATACATTTGATTTATATAGCGCTTTTCCTGGTGCTCAAAGCGCTTTACAAGCAAGTAGGGTTTCAAAGGGGCGGAAAGTTTCTGGTAAGCTGGGGAATTTTGGAAATATTCGATGCAAAATTAAACAAAAAACATGACATTTCAACAGATTTCTTTTAATTTTTAAAAAATTTTTTTTTACAAGTAGAACAGAACAAGTTTTAATTATTTTATTGAACAATTATTTGTTTCATTGAAGAACGAAAACAGGAATGTTGAGTTAAATATTACTCATCTGTGCATGTGATGGAGGAATGCACAGTGCCTGTAGGGGGTGTGG